TTTTTATAGAAGTCTCTTTAAATATCTTTAGAGTTTCTCTCTTTACTTATAGCTAAGTAGGTATATTAGCTCTAGTTTTAGCGTAGCTTTATCTTTTATAGGTATCTTATAGTTCTATAGTTTATATTTAGGTAGAACGCTATTATTCTATCTATTAAATAATAACGCGAATTTCTTATAGTTCTTCTTAATCTTCTAAGGTAGTTACTTTATATTAGGTTATAGCTTTTATATCTATATAATACTAACGTCTTAAAGTTATTTCTTTACTTATTTTATTAAACTTATAAATAATATTCTTCTAATCTTTACTTCTAGCTTTTAGTAAGCTCTTGTATAGTATCTTGCTTTAGCCTTCTATACTACTTTAGACCTTTCTTAGAGTTCTAACCTAATCTAATTAATATTAGAGTTATATCTTTATAGCTAGTCTAGTTCTAGAAGTACGTTTATATTTTCTAGTTCTATAATATTATAGAATTATTATTTCTATATTCTCTAGATATTTAATACTTATACCTTAGTTTCTAAGTAAATCTATTCTTAGCTAAAGGTAGGTAGCTAGTTATCTATAAGTTATACTTAGTATAGTTATTATTTCTCTTAAAATAGTATATTCTGTAGTTTTACTAGGCTAGTAGAAATATATATTTTTACTACTCTACTATCTATATAGGCTATAAACCTCTTATTCTCTAATATAGCTTTTACGCGTAGCGTTCTAAGTTTTAGAGTAATAATTTTACTAATAGTCTAAATAGAGCCTTTCTAGGCTAGACCTTTGCCTTAGAGGCCTGCTAGTTTTTTAATTTTAAAGAGGTAGTTAACGCTAATCTCTACTTCTTTTTTGCTATATATACTAGGCATCTTTCTAGTAAGTATATAATCTAATATAGTTTTATATATTTACTCTTTACTCTTTCTTTATAGTATAGGTATTTCTATTCTAGAAAGTACTATCTATAGTTAAGCGTGTAGTAATTAGAGTATTATACTCTCTATTCTATAGTCTAGTACTATTTCTAATAGTATTAGTATTCTATAGCATACTAGTTCTATAGTTTAGTATAGTATTCTTTACTATATACTTTCTTAACTAGCTTAGGTATTACTATTCTACTAGTTTCTTTCTTAAGCCTTAGGTCTATGTACGTAACTACCTAAATCTTCTTATTATCTAGCCTCTAGGTACTAATAGCTATTTTAACTACGGCTTTTCCCTCTCCTCTATAAATTACTAAGAGATAGGCCTAGTAGACATAGTTGTACTCTAGGTAGTTACCCTCGTATAGCTAATATAGTTTCTACTATAGGCGTACCTTAATTTTCTAGTTATATAGAAATAGTCTAGAGAGTTCTTTACTCTAGAATAACTTAGTTAGGTATATTTTATAGAAGAGGTTCTAGTACTTACCTTTCTCTACGCACCTTAGTTACTACTATCTAGCTTTTCTAGCTTTAGAGTTATTTATAGAGAAGCTCTAGTAGATTTTCTAAATATATAAGTATACTTTCTTATCTATAAAGTATTCTACTAATCTAGCTACTTTCTTAAGAGCGTTTAACGTCTTCTAGAATTCTTTATTAGTAAACAGAATATTCTAATATACGTGTTAGTAGCTCTATATATTATAGAATTCTGCGTATATCTAGTACTATTATACGTTAATACATTATTAAATAGTTTCTAGAGTAAGGTATTTTATATACGTAGAGTACTCTAGTATAATAGCTCTAACCTTAGTTAGGTACTAACCTAAGTTAGCCTTATCTCTCTAGTATATTATATAGCTATTATTATAGCATACTATCTATATAAGGCTATTATAGTCTACCTAGATTATTCTAACTATTTTTCTTTTCTTTAGGTATTTTTACGTAAAGTGTTCTTTTTTGCTATAGACTAGGTATAGTTCTTTCTTAAAGTACTATACTTTTTTCTTATTTTATAGAGTTTGTTTTCTCTTCTATAGAGTCTTAACCTAGTCTAGGTCTATAGAATTTCTCTAGAATATAGTCTATAGTTATCTTATTCTAACTATTAATAGTATAGAGTAGTCTCTACTCTATTAATATTCTAGGTTTTATTTATACTACTAGTTATTAATTTTTACTACTATCTCTATAGTGTTACTTAGGTTTTCTAGTTATTTAGCGTACGCGATATTATTCTTAACTAACTTCTTTAACTTTTTATAGAAGAGTTCTACTAGCGTAAGGTTATTCTAGTCTAGGTAAGTACTTAGCTACCTAAATATTACTATATACTAAGATGCTAATCTAGTCTATTATAGTTTAAATAGCTTTTCTTAGGCTACTTTATATGCGTTAACCTCTCTAAACGTTTCTCTAAGGTGCTTTATAAATCTAGTCTAGCTTTTAAAGATTTTATTTATAGACTATTATATTCTCTTTATATTACTCTTATTTTCTAGCTAGTCTAATATATAGAGTTTAGCCTATATAAGAGCTTCTTCTTTTATATTTATTATAGCTTCTAGAATCTTATCTTTATTCTATAGAAACGCTATAGCGTTATATTATAGGTAGAGCTTTATAGCTACTAGAAATACGTTAAGGTTTTCTCTCTTACTATTAAAGCGCCTAGATAGAGTAATCTTAGCTTAGGCCTAGCGTTTTACTATAGCTAGCTCTTCTACCTATTAAACGCTTATCTTCTAGAGTACTATAATAACTTATTAGAGTTCTATAATCTATTTCTCTATAGTTAGCTTCTAGGCCTAGGCTTTTCTAGATTAGGTTCTAACTATTAACATAATTATTCTACTCTTTAACGTTAAGTAGTTATTTTATTACAAGCTATTCTCTTAACTAAGACTAAGGCTTACTTTTATAAGAGAAGGTAAGAGGTGTACTTTAGGCTAGAATCTTTAGTAATAAAGAGGTAAAGGTAATAATACTATAAATTGCAAGTCGTAGTAGTAATTTAATAAATAAAGTAATAACTATAAGAAGCTATAAGAAGTAAGCTTCTTCTAGTTATATATATATACTCTCTTAGCTAGATTAGGCGCTAAAACCTAGCTCTTATAGATTCTCTAGATTAGGTTCTAATCTATAGATTAGGTTCTAATCTCTCTAATCTATCTAATCTACGTTACGTAACTCTAATTATTTCTATAACTCTATACGTAATCTCTTATTCTATAACTCTAAGCTTAGTCTACTATTTTCTCTATCCTGGCTAGTTAGCTCTGTTCCCGATTCTATAATTATAACACTTTCTATCTTTCTATACTATACTATAAAAAGATTTACTTTTAAATAACTACTTAAAGCTAGTATATTATTAGTTAATAAGCTCTATATAGTTAGAGCGTACTATAGTTTATATAATAATAACTTTATATAGCTAGATTACCTATATATATATATATATATATAGTTAGAAGAAAAAACTCTAAAGAAGAAATTTTTCTAACTTCTATTACTTATTATACTATACCTAGAAGAGCTAGCTCTATAAAAGTTTTCTAGAACTCTTTATTACGTTATAAATACTATATACAATAAGTTTTATAGATTATTATAGAGATATAATAGTATTTACTAGAAGTAAACTAGATTTTTTCTTAAAAGTTAGTTAAATACGTATAGCTTTTTAATTACGTAATATATCTTAGTGTAGCTTTAGTATAAGGTGTAATATACTATAAAGAATATATATATAAATTTGTATAGAAAAATATTAAGGTTTCGCCTAGTTATTTAAGAAATACGAGTTAATTTTCGTTAATTTTCCTTGCTAAGAGAAAGTAGTCGGTTCGATAGTATAGTCGGCTCGCTAGTAAAGTACGTTAGAGCTTTTAGTAATAAAGTATATTATCTATTATAGTTCTTATTTTAGAAGAGGTAAGAGATACTAAAAAGTGTGCGTTAGGTGGGGTCTGTGCGTCAGGTGGGGAAACACGGTAAACCTCTTGGCGACCGCTTCTTCGCCTGCCTTCCCCTTCAGAAACACCAACACCCACGCTAACATCTCCCTTCATCCACACCGAAAAATTGAGCGCCCCCAGTGCAAGGGCGTAGCCAGTGCGGGTCGGCCTTCCTCCCTGCTAGCAGTGGCAACATCTAGTATTTCGATATTTGCCCCGATAGCTATTTATCCTTCGTAAGCATCATTGCGATCCATATCCAAAGCACGAACCATGCCCTTTGGGCCAATAGCGCATCTGACGCTCGGCCACCGCGCACTTGCCCGCTCTCTTTCTACGGTGGAATACGTCTAACAGCGCTCAATACTCTTCCAGGCTCATACTTACGGAACCCACTCCAAGAATCATCGCCATGCCCTACCTTGCCCACATCTCCCTCCTCGTAAGCGATTACGACGAAGCTATTGCTTTCTACTCCCGCTTGGGGTTCGAAATAGTGGAAGACACCCTCATACTGGAGCAACAGAAGAGGTGGGTTACCATCCGACCTCCGCCTCCCCAACCTTTGTCCAGCGGCACTTCAGCGGAACAACAGACCAAGTCTCCTGGTGAGAAGGTCAAGCAGGAACCGACGTCTCCGTCTGCATTGGCTTCGTTGCAGTGTGCGACTATTCTCCTTGCCCGTCCCAGCAACGCAGAGCAGGAAGCTTTTATAGGAAACCAGACCGGAGGACGGGTGTTTTTGTTCCTTGCGACGGATGATTTTGAAAGGGACTTCAAGCGGTTTTCAGAAGTGGGCGTAGAGTGGGTTCGAGCACCGAAGATGGAGGCATACGGGAAGGTAGCGGTGTGGAAGGATCTATATGGCAATTTGTGGGATTTAATTCAGTACCATTAACCCGGGAGCCGTGGTGTCGGCAAGGCCCAGGACTTATGAGGACCACCTTGGCAGTAAGTTTATGAACGATATGCTCAGTCCATGTTGCATTCCCCTGCAAGTTCGTCTGGGACAATATTTAGTATTTGTCAAAGCAGTGGACCAAAGAATGGCTGAGGTAGGGTCTCCTAACAACGACCTTGGCTTTCTATGTCACCTTATACGACAGAAGGACAATCAGCTTCATGGATACTCACACGGCATTAGCGCATCCCGAATGGCTAGTAACTCGCAATTTCACTTGTCTCTCTCTAAGTCTCGAGTCGGAAAGCAGGGAACGAGAGCATCGACGGACCAATTAGAGCGATGGAAGCCAGATATGGAGGTGGTGCGAGCCACGATCCAGTTCGCGATGGAGACGAGACGCCTACAGACCGGCAGCCAAGACACAGCAAGCATTGAAGAAGACAGCAACGAACGACAACAACTACGACCTCCTACACCCACTTCATAATTAACAGCTAAGTTAGTAGCGAGCCGCCACCTACGAGCCTCTGCCAGCGCGCTGCCGATTAAGAAGCGCACGACGCCGGAACTGCCCTGCGGATGGGGGACCCCAGAAAACAACCTGGCTTACTAGTAACTTCCAATCACATACAGCATACGGTAGTGTATCACTTTTCTTTCTTTCCTATGTTGAGCATGTTGTTAGATACGCGATCAGTAGGTCTCATAGTTGGCTTCTAAACTGGAGCAGGCGGTGGACAACAGAATGTACATAGCTGGCGCATCGTAACGGCCCATACCCACAGGGTGCATGGCCATAATAGAACACACACACACACACACACACACACACACACACACACACACACACACACACACACACACACATCCGAGGGGCGTTGGACGTTTTAAAGAATGATACTGTAATGGGGTGTGCGTGTGCCTGGTTTCCACTAAGAGCTTCCAAGCGGTGTGCATGCACCATGAGTTCCGAACCCGGCCTTGCTATACCGTAATGGGTTAGATATCGGAAACGGCAATCTGGGGCGGACCCCACGGTGGGAACTAATTCCAGACAACACAGTGCAACAACCTGAAATATCATTTATATCAGAAAATCAAAGCTCCTCTCGCTTGTGCAATAGGCGTCGAAACTTTTTTTTAGGCAGTTGATGCAGGGAGCTTGAGGTATAGCACCGCATGTGCCCAGCCTTGCCATTACCAGATCTCAGAAGAGAGGGTCCGGAAACAGGCCCACTGCGGGAACCAAAATGGGGCCCAAGGCTAACGAGGCACAACATACCGGCTGACATGCAATGGTTCAAATCATGGCACCAAATGGGCATCCGCCACCGCTGGGATAACCGGCAGATTATTTCGCCGATCGACGCAATACGCCGCAGAATTTCCGGCTTGGCACCAACGCTGCGACGAAGCTGGTTATCCATCCTCCCCTTCCTCTGCATCCTCACAGCCACCCCACTTAACGCTCAAATCTTTTGGGGATTTCTTACTCCATCTACAATGCTCTTAAAGTGAACAGACCGTCTAACTCGCCAGAGACCGCCCTCTTCGTCGTATCCGCACTTCGCAAGACCTCGAACCTCCACACTTCGGGACGAGTCATTCTTAGATGGAAACATGCTTGTTGAACAAGCACAGTCGGACTCTGTTCTGCATCCTAATATTCGCTCTAAGAGAGATTTAACAACTCTTAGCGAAGTTACGAATTATAAGACTAGAAAATTTCTATAACGTACTTTACTATCGAAAGCCCCACACCATCGAACAGCCCACGATTTCTTGGCAAGGAAAATTAACAAGAATCTACGAGGTTTTCTTAAATAACTAAGCGAAACCTTAATATTTTTCTATAAAAATTTCTATATATATTCTTTATAGTATATTATACTCTCTATTAAAGTTATACTAAGATATATTACGTAATTAAAAAGCTATATATATTTAACTAACTTTTAAGAAAAATCTAGTTTACTTCTAGTTAGTACTATTATATCTCTATAATAATATATAAAACTTAACGTACTTTATAAGCGAACCGCCCACATAAGCGAACCGCCTACGATTTCTTAGCAAGGAAAATTAACGAAAACTAACTCGTTTTTCTTAAATAACTAAGCAAAACCTTAATATTTTTCTATAAAAATTTATATATATATTCTCTATAGTATATTACACCTTATAGTAAAGTTGCACTAAGATATATTATGTAATTAAAAAGCTATACGTATTTAAGTAACTTTTAAGAAAAAATCTAGTTTTCTTCTAGTAAGTACTATTATATCTCTATAATAATATATAAAACTTATAGTATATAGTATTTATAACGTAATAAAGATTTCTAGAAAACTTCTATAGCGCTAGGTCTTCTAAGAATAGTGTAATAAGAGATAGAAGTTAGAAAAACTTCTTTTTAGAGTTTTCTTCTCTAACTATATATATATATTAATAATCTAGCTATATAAAGTTATATAGTATAAGATTATATATACTATAAGCTTTCTATATATTTAGAAGTAATAATTTTAAAATAGTTTTAGTATATTTCTCTTTTTCTATACTATACTACTAAAAAGGCTTTACTTTTAAATAACTACTTAAAGCTACTATATTATTAGTTAATAAGCTCTATATAGTTAAAGCCTACTATAATTTATAAAATAATAAGTTTATATAGCTAGATTAACTATATATATATATAGTTAGAAGAGAAAACTCTAAAAAAGATATTTTTCTAACTTCTATCTCTTATTACGCTATACCTAGAAGAGCTAGCAGTATAGAAGTTTTCTAGAAACCTTTATTACGTTATAAATACTATATACTATAAGTTTTATATATTATTATAGAGATATAATAGTACTTACTAGAAGAAAACTAGATTTTTTCTTAAAAGTTACTTAAATACGTATAGCTTTTTAATTACGTAATATATCTTAGTGCAACTTTATTATAAAGTGTAATATACTATAGAGAATATATATATAAATTTATATAGAAAAGTATTAAGGTTTCGCTTAGTTATTTAAGAAAAACGAGTTAGTTTTCGTTAATTTTCCTTGCTAAGAAATCGTAGGCAGTTCGCTTGTGTGAGTAGTTCGCTTATAAAGTACGTTATAGTATATAATATCTATAACCTAATAAAGATTTCTAGAAAACTTCTATAGCGCTAGCTCTTCTAGATATAGTGTAATAAGAGATAGAAGTTAAGAAAATATCTTCTCTAGAGTTTTCTCTTTTAACTATATATATATATATATAGGTAATCTAGCTATATAAACTTATTATTATATAAATTATAGTAGACTTTAACTATATAGAGCTTATTAACTAATAATATAGTAGCTTTAAGTAGTTATTTAAAAGTAAAGTCTTTTTAGTAGTATAGTATAGAAAGATAGAAAGATACTAAAACTATCTTAAAATTATTACTTCTAAATATATAGTAGGCTTATAGTATATATAATCTTATAATATATTACTTTATATAGCTAGATTATTAATATATATATATATAGTTAGAGAAGAAAACTCTAGAAAGAATTTTTCTAACTTCTATTTCTTTTTACGCTATACCTAGAAGAGCTAGCGCTATAGAAGTTTTCTAGAAATCTTTATTAGGTTATAGATATTATATACTATAAGTTTTATATATTATTATAGAGATATAATAGTACTAACTAGAAGTAAACTAGATTTTTCTTAAAAGTTAGTTAAATATGTATAGCTTTTTAATTATATAATATATCTTAGTATAACTTTAATAGAAGGTATAATATACTATAAAGAATATATATAGAAATTTTTATAGAAAAAAATATTAAGGTTTTACTTAGTTATTTAAGAAAACCTTATAGATTCTTATTAATTTTTCTTACTAAGAAATTATAAGACTTTTAATAATATTAAGCTTTTAATAATAAAGTATATTAATAGTACTAACTAGAAATAAACTAGATTTTTTTTAAAAGTTAGTTAAATACGTATAGCTTTTTAATTATATAATATATCTTAGTATAACTTTAGTATAAAGTATAATATACTATAAAGTATAATAGTCTAGTTTAGAGATTTACCTTAGATTACATAACCTTAGGTTACGTAATCTTATTACGTAACCTAGCCTAGCGCCTTAGCGCTTAGCACCTCTATATATAGAGCCTCTTAGAGTATTCTTCTACTTCTTACCTTTAGATAGCTAAATTTAACCTAACCTACTCTACTAGCACCTCTTATTCTTACAGCTTATAAAGACAGTACTACCTGTAGCTAACTTATCTAGCTAGGTATTCTAGAAGCACTTATAGTAGTAGAGACCGCGAACCTAGCCCTTATATTATCTAAAGGTTAATACCTCTTTAGCTAGAGACGGCGGCATAATATCTAGCTAAACTAAGTAGCCTTGTTAAGAAGTGTTTACTAACAGCTAATACTAAGAATTAGAGCTACGAGAGCCTAGTTGCTTACTCTAAGAATCTATTAACGTACTAATTAATTGCTTACCTCTAGCGCTGTATAAGACTACTAGCGAATCTAGTTAGTAGTAGAAAGATACTAGTACTAAGCTAAAGAGAGCTATTAAGAGCTCTATATATAGAAGAACTTCTATAGAACTTCTACGTATAGAAACCTCCCCTCTCTTTATAAATTACGAAAAATTAATAATCCTCTACTCTACTAGTAGAGCTAATAATTCTACTACCTTACTAGTAGCTAATACTACTCTACCCTACTAGTAGAGCTAATAACTAGCTACTCCGCTAGCAGCTAAATACCTCCTCTCTTTGCTTCTTTCTTAATTAAAAAGCTAAACAAATCTAAACACTATAGAAGAACTCTTATAAAGCTAATCTAGAGGTAGAATCTTAGCTCTACAATACCTCTTTACTCTAATAGTTCTTAAATCTAGAGTAGCGAACCTGCTAGTAGAATATACTAATTAATATTTCTATTATAAAAACTCTGTTTAGTAACATAACGCGATAACTAACAAGAATTAAGATAATAACTTTAACTAGAAGCTTGTAAAGCTTTGCTAGAGCTTAGTAATACTAGAGCTATTATTAGCCTTAGGTTTATTTATACTTTCTACCTTTGCTAAAGAGCTTTAAGAGCTCTT